TGCACTCGTTCTGTTGGAACTCAAACCAATAAACTGAAAAATATTATTTCCCAAGTGACTTTTTTTTTTTAATGCTTCTCTTTCAAAAATTGTCATCAAATGACAGAGAAAGCTGCAGTTTATCTTACAACACTTTGAGCCTCGAGTTTGTGGCAGACGTTTTATGCTGCTATTGTTAAATGATGCTTTTTATATTCCTTACTGGAATGACGGGTAAAGACAAATCATCAAATCAGAATAATAATCCAGGACTTCCTTGAGTAAAGTTGTTTAGCTTGGGTGGTAGACCACATAGACCCTGGCATGTCTCATCTTGTGATAGCTTTAGCTTAAAGCAGATGGCTTAAAAGGAGACACAGACTCTGTAATGGACTTTCCCGTCCTTTTAAATTGCATTTTTGCTCATTTACCTAAAACATTTCATATTTATTTCACAAATCTGTATACACTTTTTAGCAACAATGTTCTTTGTTCCAAGTGAAATGAAATTCTGCTATAAACTGTTTAATCCCATTTAGATTTTTGTTCTTATATTTAACATCCAGGAAGCCATCACATTGCTAAAAGCAATTTATATGATGATTGGTTTGCATGTTTATTGCTTCAATAAGATATGCCAGCATCGCCCCAACAATCGTAAAAACATGAGGCAGGGTCATGGGTGGGCCTAGCAGTGGGTTGTCTAAGCCCAGCTGTCCCAATATCAAGAACAAGTGCAAAGCCGGGCTGGACTGGGGGCAGGGTGTGGTATGGCAGCGGCACTATGGTGACAGAGCAGGACCGGACAGAGAAAAGATGCTAAATGAATCTATTGTCTGGCCCCAGTGAAGCACACCGCACAAAGAATGGCACATTCAAACAGTCATACAGGCCTATTGTTGTGACGGGCCAGCAGAGTAATACATGTTCAGGTTGCCTGATGTCAGAAACATAAACTATAACACCAAACAGAAAAACAAAAACTGACAAGACTTCCTCCATATCAATCCTTGAATAAATTCCCCTATAAATTGTTGTTCTATATCTGATGATGTGAAATAAAAAAAACAAAGCATTTATGGAACAATAACTGTGCTCTTTAGTTCAATCATTGACCACATGTCAACAAGCTAAAATAATTAGAAACAATTTTGAACAGAAATTCACTAAACTAATAAAGCTAAAAAGTTTGACAGAAACCAAATTTTAAAATAAATAGATAAACTGAAGGTTTTATAATTTGCTGGCCTCCTTGATAAACTGCTAAAAGCAAACATTTTCATTTAGGGAAGGAGGAAACAAAATTCCAAGAACCGCATAAAAGTAATGTAAACTATTGTCTGTCAAAGAGGAAATTGACGTGAGAAAAAAAAAACACCCTCAGCCATTAAATGGCCGTTATTAGTTGTTATCATCTCCATATGTAGCGGTCAGACTGCCCCTCCTGTACCTCCTAGTGGGTTTAAAGGTACGTTGTTAGCGATGATAATGGGCTCTATTTTTAGCTTTGTTCCTGCTCATAGCTTCACGTGGTTTGGTTTAGAGTAAAGGGTCTGGCGGTTACGTTTAGGGTCTTGATTAGGTTTAGGCACAAGGGTAAGGGGGTTAAGTTTAGGGTTGGTCCTCTGGGTCACGTGTAAGCTTACGTTTAGGAAAAGGGTTACATAGGCTGAAAAAAAAAAAAGAAGACACTTCCTGGTTTACCCCTGTGCGACGCTGCCTATTATCAGCAATAATAACAATAATAACAATAATAACGTACCTTTAAACCTACTAGGAGGTAGGGGGGCAGTCTCAGCGCTACATATGGGGATGATAACAACTAATAATGGCCATTTAATGGGCTGATAACATCTGAAGCCACTCGAAAAAAACAGAATTAGTCAAGATTCAACCCAAGAAATGTAAAGTATGCTTACTAACTGGATTAGATACATTACCTGCCTTAAGCTTAGACTACTAGAGGACAAACTGACCTCATTTCCTTAAATGAATTGTTAAAACTGAATAGTTTTCTTTTGATACTATTTCTATCTTAACATGTGATTCTTGACCTGCCATTGTGTATCTGTTCCTACCAAACCCAGCCCGTCCAAGCAGATGGCCGCTTGTCTGGTTCTGTTAAGGTTTCCTCCTCATGGGGGAGTTATTCCTTTCCACTGTCGCCTTCATGCTTGCTCAAGATGAGAGTTCTGTGATGGAGTTAAATTCAAAGCAGTCTGCTCCTCAGACATAGTGTTAAATTATTATTTTTATGGACGTTTTTGTCAACTTATTCTTTTTACATATGAATCTTTCTGTTCAGTGCCCAGAGATGACTTCTGTTGTGGCGCTATATAAATAAACTGAATTGAATTGAATTACCTAACAAAATAAACATGTTTTATTCAGCGCACATCTTCTAAATGCTTAACTAAAGAGCTCACAGACACTGGTGTGTAAGGAGTGAATAGGAGCTGGTTAAACAGGATTCCACAACAAACAATTTACTGCTACAGTACAACACTGACCATTATTCCTACTTCTGACACAGCCCAGGAGGAAAGTGACATCTTAACGATGCACACACTTTAATATTCTTTCTCATTACAGCCCTGTGGTTCAACGTCTGCCTTTGTATGTAAATGCCACACACAGAACCTGAAAACACTGCAGACAGACGGTGGTCTTCTGGGCTCAGCTGTAATAGCCTCTCCTAAATGACAACCACCATTACAAAAATCATTAGTCTACTCCGCCCCGCTGTTGTTGAGGTGGTCATTCAGTTTTCTTACTGTGAGCCGTCCAGGGAGGCTGCCACATTATCAGCCCTGTGAAACCCAACACTAACACAGTCGCCAGGTGTTTGGGTTAGGTTTTGTGACAGGCTGAGCAGACGCAAAGCTGTTTATAAAGCGGCACCTTTGACGCTTGGATCACACGTTGAACTGAAAGTTTTGAGAGATTTTATTTTTTATTCCACAAACATTTGCAACAAATTACTAAATTCACGTGAAAATTATCTGGCTTGAGCTGGAATCAGGTTCACTTCCTCTGTGATGTTGTGTTCCACTATTAGGCACTATAAAAAAAAAAATGCACAGCTGATTGTGTTTGAGGAAGAAATGAAAAAACAAAAACAAAAATGTTTCAGTAAATGACTAAGGACCAAAATCAACAACATGGCAGCGACTGTGGTTGAAGGCTGTGCTTCTGTCGAGGAAGTCATAACATAAGGTGTCACTTGATGTGCTTGTGATTGCTAAAAGTTGATGGACAAATCAGCTGACAGCAACTCACAAAACCAACAATGTTATAGCTTGTCGAGACAAGCAGAAAAATATAATAAGCACTTAAGACAGAAAAACACATGTTTAAAGCCAGGGCCACTAAACAACTATATGTAGCAATCTGAATAATGCATTTAAACGCATAACGAGAAATGTTTTTTGTCTAAACAAAAGACAAACTCGTGTTTGTTAAGATCTAATAAGTTAATATCAAGTGAATAAACGTTGTTCGGGTTCCAACAAAACAGCTTAGTGATTGGGAGAGCATGGAGTTACAACACAGACTAATCATCTGCAACATAGAGCTATTCAGAAAAAAAAAAAAAAACAAGACACGCAATTCAAATGTCCAGACCTGTCCGTGCCCTCCCTGTCTGAGAATTAACTTTGTGGACAAAACAACAGCGTCGTGTCAGGATTCTCCAGTGTTTACAGTGGAAACATGGCAGCTCCCACCACAACAGTAAGCCTTCTTACAGGGCAGCAGAAATTACAAGCACATACAAGTCCCTCTCGGATGTAGAGCATTTTAAATCTGAGGAATGTAAGCTTTTTTCTGATTAGTCTTCAACCGGGTTGCAGATTAAAATAACCTCAGTTGTGAACTTTGAGCAAAATGCAACAACTTCCTTAATAGAAATGATTTATTTTGCTTAACAGAAGTGAATCCTATTAATTAACTCGTGACAAGTTGATCATCATACATCCAAAAGCTCCAAAGACAAAATAAAAAAAAAAAAGTTAAACAGTTACTTGAAAAAAAAAAAAATCAATGAATCAATTGATTAAAAGCAAAAAGCAAGAAAGCAGGATGCTTTCCAAAGGTTCACATTCATGTAAAAACAAGAGCCCTTTAACTTGTATTAATCATATATTTGTTTTAATTTTTGTCATATTCCATTAACAGCTTCAATCTGTTAATACAAAAAAAAAAAAACATTATTTTGAAAAATCTACAATTCCCTTGAATGTGAAATCAGTTATCTTAAAATGGAAAACTCTTGTTTTACAAAATGCTGTTATGCAAAAAGTAAATATTGATTTAGACATTGTCCTTAGCTCAGTCTCATTGAGACTATCCTACAGAAAAAAAGTGGAAACAACTTAACAAAACTGCATTTATAATCTTATTACCGTTTATATACATTAAACCAGTTTTAGGAGTAACATTAAATCAAGATTACAAATAAATGTCACGCAAAGAAAGACTACTAAAATCATGGCAGAGAGTGAAATTTAGATAAGAATCACATTTCTACAATATTGTCTAACGTTAAAAAAAAAAAAAAAAACCTGTCAGTGCAAATCAATGCTTGTCGTTTCACCTCCTCCTCCTGGGACTGACCTTTTAGGACGTTTGAGATCCATGAAGACCAGTTTTTAACCAGTCAGCTCGGACCGGCAGGTCTGGCTAACAAACAGAAAGAACCGAACAAAAACCAAAACAGTTTGCAAAATACATGCAAATAACACGCGACTACCAACCCTAAATACCTGTCTGGATCAGGTTTTGCCCAACTACCACAACTACGGTCAAAATAAAGTAGAAAATCAATGACTAAACTCACGTAAAATCAAAAACACCATATAAGATCGCCTCAAAGATTACTGACGGCTGTTACGTTGACCGTCCACACCGGCTCGACGGTCACCAATGATATCACAACCAAACCGCCCGGTGAGGCTAACTCACCGGAGTTCTGTCGCGGTGCTCGGGAAAGGAGTTATGGTCGTAACGTCGACCTTACTTACTTCGTCACGTCGAACATGTTTCTTCTTAACCGTGACTGCACGTTCATCAGGTGAGAACGACAGAGAAGAGCAGCGCACAGTTCAGACGGTTGATTCAACAGAGCGCTTGGTTGGCTGGTTGGTCACGGCTGCGCGTGAGGTCATAGTTTTACTGGAGCAGGTAGTGCGCATGCGCCGTTCTATATTTAATCGCAGTGCTTCATGGATATTGTAGTTCTACACGTTGCAAACGCTGTGTGGCTGCAAAAGTCCAGAGGGTGCAAAATATTAACCGAATACGCGTTAGGGTTGAAAAGGTTCGTATTTTGACAAATGTTTCAATAAGTAATCAAAACATTTTTAAAAAGTCTAATAAAACTTGAGCATGCATCAGGATATCTAATAAAACTGTTAATAAAGTTGTCCTGATGCATGCTCAATAATCCACGTAGGTGAATCTAGGTTGAGTCAGGTCCTCTGGATGGATTCTTCTTTGCTGAAACATTTCATCTTTTATCCAAAAGGCTTAAGTCTAAGGAGCTGCAACAAACTCAGCCTTATAAATAGTACCTTCTCATAGTGAATCAACCAATTTGCTGGCAGCCAAAACTACCGGTAGGCTTGTTGTTCACGTGCAAAGGGAGGGCCATCAGCCTAACGACTGATTGTTAGTGCTCCACGGCTGCTTGCTCTTCACAGAGGACTGAGTGATATTTGCAACAACAGCATTGTAAGAGGCGAACAGTTGAACACGGAGGCCTCTGTTTAATGATGGATGAGATCTCTTCACAAATATGGCTTCCTTTACTTTTTTCTCAAACCAACGTTTCTATCAAGGATGTGCACATCTTCATCCCTGAAAGAGTGACTACAGAAACCATCTGAGATTCAACCTTCAATGCAGACAGAGTAGCAACTTTCTCAAGAGCCTTCAACTCAGATCTTCTGTCAGTGGGCACCAGGCAAGCAAGATCCCTCAGAAGACACATACCAAGCTGCTGAACGAACGAGTGAGACAGACCAATTTCACCACTGAGGCTTTAGAGGCCAAAGAAGAGTGCATCCAACAAAACTAACTGCTATCTGGCATTTGTACTCATCCTTTTAGTTGGCAGATCAGAACACCACATACAGAACATCATGGACTTTGTAGATAAGGTGAGGGATGTCATCCTGGAGACTAATGAAACAATGGTCTCTTTTGATGTCACATCACTCTTTACGTGCATTCCTGTTGATGATGAGGTAGAGGTGGTCAGTTTAAAATTAAAATCAGACACCACTCTGAGCAGCAGGACCACGCTTTCCACAGAACAACTGTGTCAACTCTTGAAACTGTGCCTGCAGTCAACCAGGCACAACTATAGGCAGAAACATGGGCGTGCTATGGGGTCTCCAGTTTCTCCTATTGTTGCCAACCTGTACATGGAGGAGGTAGAAAAGAGAGCCTTGACGTCCTTTTCAGGGACACCACCAAGTCATTGGTTCAGGTATGTTGACGACACCTGGGTTAAAATCAAATCTCAGGAAGTCCAACATTTTACTGACCACATCAACTCTGTGGATAAATACATCAAGTTCACACGAGAAGATGTAAAATATGGCAGGTTGGCTTTCTTGGACTGTGAGGTCTCAGTCTCTGATAGAGGACATTTGCAAACTGATCTATACTGCAAACCCACCCACACAGACCAGTATTTGCAGTTTGACTTCCATCACCCTCTGGAGCACAAGTTAGGAATCATCAGGACTCTGTACCACAGAGCAGACAGCGTCCCCACTAACTCAGGAACCAGTGAAAAAGAGAGATCCCACATAAGCAGGCTTCAGTGTGGATATCCTAACTGGGCTTACCTGAAAGCAGAGAAGAAACCCAAACAGGACTCCAGTCAGCCATCAGGTGAAAAGGAGGAACCCAGACCCAGACCAGTGGTCATTCCATATGTTGAGGGAGTATCAGAGAAACTGAGACGTTTATTCATTCATTCATTCATTCATTCATTCATTCATTCATTCATTCATTCAACCTTTATTTAGACAGTTTAATCCTATTGAGCCTCGGGGACTCATTTATGAGAGAGACCTGGTTTATTATTATTTTATTTATTAGTTTATTTTCTAAACACAACATCCCAGTGGCTTGTAAACCTCAAAATACATTATGGTAAAGACTGGTTCGTCCCAAAGATCCAGTCCCCCGGCACAAACAGAGTAATGTTGTGTATGCTGTTCAGTGTCAGGAGGGCTGTGATCAGTCTTACATCGGGGAAATTAAACAGCCACTGGCCAAAAGGATGGACCAGCACAGAAGATCAACATCATCAGGCCAGGACTCTGCGGTCTACACTCATCTCCAGGCCAGCGGTCACTCTTTCAGGGATGAAGATGTTCACATCCTTGATGGAGAGGAACGATGGTTTGTGAAGAGAACTCATTCATTCAACCTTTATTTATACAGGTTAGTTTCATTGAGCCTCATCCATCATTAAATAGGGGCAGATGACTCTATGTTAAACTGTCCCCCTCTTTCAATGCTGTTATTGCATCACTCGGCCCTCCGTGAATAGCAAGTGGCCATCATGGCACTATCAGTTGTTAGGCTGATGGTCCTCCTTTTGCATGTGAACAACTGGTTTTGGCTGTCACCAACAAACTGGTTGATTCACTATGAGAAGGTGCAGCTTTGTGTTTTTTGATCTTTCATTTATTTTATTGCTGATTTCCTGTTTGTGAAGCACTTTGGCATTGTTGTTTTTAAATGTGCAATATAAATAAAACTGACATTGACATTGTAAGACTGAAATTGTTGCAGCTCCTCAGACTGAAGAAGTCTTTTGGATAAAAGACGAAACGTTTCAACAAGAAGAATCTGTCCAGATGACCTGACTCAACCTTCTAGATGTTAAAGTTGACATATTTTGCTTAGCTGGACTGGGATAATTCATTCTAAATACACTACATTTTTATGAGAAGTAACTAAAAATAAATAGTTTAACTGTAGTGAACCTGATCTGACCCTGATCTGACCCTGATGACCTCAAATCTATCAGATGGACAGAGACTGTTATTTTCATTGATCTGAATACAGTCTGAGCCATCTGGTGACTTTCTTTCTTGAATTAATCAAGCAGAAAAGACAATTCTCTATAATCATTACTGTTTTACAAATGTTTAATAATCAAATTGTGTTAGTTCCACTCAATGTTACAGGTTGAAAAGAACTACTCATTTTTATTTTACATAAACAGTAAGTAATGATTTTTATTCCTCATTCAAAGAAGAAATCAGGTTAATATGCATTTCTTGATTTTCTGTCTGAAATGAGCCAAGCAACGTAAGTATGTGAAAGTTGAAGCTTCGGTCAACTAAATGTTTACTGAAAAAGAAATGTCATGTTTAATCTTTACAGAAGATACAGAAGAGTTTGACTCCACGAAGTCTGCTTTTCTGCAATAATCTCTCTGTCAGTTGTTAAACAAACTCATTCTCTGACCTCGACTTTTGATAACACCTTACGTCAAAAACCACACCTCTTTCTGGTACATCCACGAATCAGAAAGCTCTAAATTGACCCGGAAGTCAACTCATTTAAAATGTGGCAACTTCCCAGTTCATAAGAGAATTCAGAAGAATTCGAGGATTCCAGAGAATTCCAGAGGCTGAGGAGATGAAGAACTAGAGAGTTACTGACAATTAAGAGTCTGAGAAGTTCTGAAGAATGAAAGGAGTTCAGAGTTCTTGGGTGCAAACGCATTCAGGATGATCCAGAGACGTTTTGGGATTATAATTTCTGTTTGAAAACCACGTACGACTCTCTGAGGGTTTGGTAGTTCTCACGGAGACGCTGAAAAGAGTCAGAAAGGAACCTACGCCGACGCTGATTTCATCATCAAGGTAGATGGTTCTATTTTCGACCAAGTGTACCGTGGGCAAGCTGATATCTGATGGAGCGTGCAATTTCTGGTCAAACAGATTAATTCCCTCACATATTTCTCTGTAAGATAAATCTCCATTTCATCTTAAAACTCTCCTCTTTCTCATAAAATCAGTACAGATATTTTAGAAATATCTGAAGCAAAGTCCTCGTTCACCGCCGAGTGATCGATGTCCCTTTTCTGTGAAACTTGTCTGTTATTATTTTCATATTTTGCCAAATCAATGTAAATGTTTGATGTTAAACTTTGATTCTGAAAATAAATGACCGCATTGATTTGATGGGTCAAAGATAAATAACGTCTCTCGTTACATTTCTGTTAAATTCAATGCACGACCTTACACAGTCAGAAAGATGAGGAACTCGTGAATATTGTATGCATATATCTCATATATTGTCATACTACAACTAGTGGCACGTACCTACGTGACTACTACATAACAAATAAGTGAATTATTGGTAGCCCTAAATATTCACAGCAGTTCTATATACCTGTATTTGCAAATCTGTAAACAAAAATATCAAAATATTTATAGTGAAATTCCTGCAGTTAAAATATATTTTTATGAATCCTTAAAATTTGAACAAATTCCCAAATATTATCACCATAATACTTTTTTCTGTTAGAAAATTGCAGGGCATTTACGTTCCCTCTTAGAAGCAAAATAAAACCTGCCACAACCAAAAAGTTAAAAAATGTCTCCATCTGGTGATGGTAGATAAAAAAATTAATATTTTGCTAACAGAATGGTAACTTTGCACCCTTTTAAAGACATGTTTTTTTTTTTTTTACCCTGGACTTTTGCAAAAAAAGGGGCAGCACGGTGGCGCAACTGGTAGAGCTGCTGCTCAGCGAGCAGGTCCCTGGTTCAAACCCCGGTCCAGGGGCCTTTCTGGGTGGAGTTTGCATGTTCTCTCCGTGCATGCGTGGGTTTTCTCCGGGTACTCCGGTTTCCTCCCACAGACCAAAAACATGCATGTTAGGCTGATTGGTAATTCTAAATTGTCCCTAGATGTGAGTGAGAGAGTGAATGGTTGTTTGTCTTGTTTGTCTCTATGTGGCCCTGTGATGGACTTGCGACCCGTCCAGGGTGTACCCCGCCCCTCGCACAGTGATTGCTGGACATGGGCACCAGCGACCCCCGTGACCCAAAATGGAACAAACGGGTAAAGATAATGGATGGATGGATGGATGGATGGACTTTTGCAAAAACAGTTTTAGGTTTACAACTATTTGCTAAATTTAGTTGAAACTATGCATTGTATTCATTACATCATGTTTATTTCTCAAACAAATGTATGAAATTGTAATTAAATATTTTGTAATTTTTATTTTATTCATTAAAAAACGTATTTTGTTGATATATGAACAACTTGAATTTTCTTATTTTGTGTGTGTGTGTGTGGGGAGGGAGGTGCACAAACCTTTATTGTCTCATATTCAATATACTTTATTAATCCCAAGGGAAATTAAGTGCTGTCGAAGCTCATCATCCTGGTTTCATTCAAGAGTTGTTAGATGCAAATAGCTGTGGGCAGGAAGGATCTCCTGCAGCAAATTTGAAGAATCTGGCTACAGATACCGATCCGTCTACCCTGATCCAGCTTGCTGTCAGATCCGGCAAGCTTCTCGGTCTGCTGGGCAGAATTCCTCCCTGAGCAATGGTCACTCCTCCCAGCAGTTTGCCGAGCTCCGTGTTACTACGGACAGACAGCTGAAGGTGCCAGGTCCCGGTCCTCTCGTTGTCACGAGCCGAGTTTCCCACAAGCTCCAGGATCTCGGCGGTCAGGTACTCGTACACCGCTGCCAGGTTGACAGGAATTCATCCTCGGCACCTCCTTTTCAACCCATTTGGGATAAGTATACTGGGATTTATTACTCATATACTTAACTTCAAGGGTTTTATTGTGGTTTGCAATGGGGAACCACTTGCAAAGACCTTATTAAGGACCAGAGATGCATCTTTTGTTTGCCATGCCCACTTTAACAAGATCACAGGAGGGTCTAACTAGGGAAAACATGCTTCTCAACACAGTGACTGCAGCCTATTAATGTTTTCATTGGCAATATAGCAAAATAAATATTTCTTATAAAAACTGCAAAATGTGTGGACCAAGAGCAACAGGGAATACAATAATATTATTAAAATAAAGTTTTTCTATTGAAATTTCAGAATAAATTTATTTTAAGAGGTGGAAATCCGAAAACGTGATAAAATATCAGGGGTAAAAAAAATATTTACTTGGCTACAGATGACTAGAAGTGGAAAAAGTTTTTATAAGAAGTCAGATTCAGTGGTTCATTGCCTTCTGGTGGCGCAAAGTAAAGCTACACATGAATCAGATTTAACCCTTTATGATCATTTGCAATAAAAATCAAAGCATAATATAATCGTGTAACCTTCCCGTTTGTGGTCTGTCTTGCATCAGGGCTTCTTTTGCTTTGATCACTCACATAAAAGCTGCCAGAAGAACATTCGTTTCAATGCAACACAAGATTTCTGTTGTTTTACATAAATTAATATTTCCTTTCTAATTAATGATTTACTCCAGTTGTGTGATTTAAATATTAGACAGCACTGACTCAACTTCTTCTAGGCAGTAACTCGCATCTATTTTTGAACACTAGTCTGTCTTAACATGAAACCAGTGGAGGCAAGAAACCTTATAGGAAATATTAAAAAGGAAACATCGCTGATGGGATTTTTTGTTTTACAAATAAAGGAGGTTAAAGTAAATATTTTATTAGCATTTCAGTAAAGCAAATAAGATAATTTCTAAAGAAGTAGACTAATTTGCGTTATTTAATGTCTACCAATAGATATATATTTGATGGATATCTGTATGTCTGCAGCAATATGATGTTCCTGAGATATTCTGGGGAGTCAAGTAGCTCGGAGGGAGAAAACACCACAAAAAAGAAAAAATAAAGATTAAATCCAAGCAGGTGCTGGCTGTTCAAAATGGCAGACAAAACTATTAGGTTGATGAGTTTTCTTTAATTTAGTCAAGTATTTGCAATATTGTTATTTTAAGTGATGTCTTCCTGCAAATAATAATTTAAAAAAAGTGTCCATCGCTTGGATTCTTTTATGAGAAATTGGTACATACAAAAAAAAACAAAAAAAACCCCTCCATTTTAAATTCAACTAATTTTATTTTAAAATTGAGTTACTTTCATGGTTATTTTTGGACAAATTTGTTGATTTTAAAAGGTTTTTAGAAGTGCTACATTAATTCTGCTTATGTGGGCAGACATATCGCCACATAACCAACAGAGTCCATGCTCAATAATCCAGGTATACAATCCAACAATTTTCAGTCAGGTCATCTGGACAGTTTCTTTTTTTGTGTGCTTAAACGTTTCACCATAACATCATAACAAACCAGTTATGTTGGTGCTAAGATGGTTTGTTCCACTCTGGCGTAAGCTGTTGGGGGGGAGAATCAGTTTTGTGTCGTGTTTCCTTGACTGATGAAGCCTTCTGGACGGAAGGTGAAATGTTTCAGCACAACAATAAAAATAAAAAATAAAAAAACTGTCCAGATGACTTTACTGAAAATTGTTGTATATCGCTACATAATTTATGGCCACTCTGGAACTTTACACTAAAAGTATTATCAGGCACACATGCCCAAAAACTTTACTATTGACCAACTTAAACCAAATGGATTTTTTAAATACTGCCTAAAAGTACATAAGATCCAGGTAGCTATACAGTACTTTCTTAATAACTAACTTGTGGACATGTACACAACTGTTAAGCATCAGATGATTGTTTATGTTAGAGATTACGGATAATTAAAGTTTCATTGATTTAAATATACACTTTATACTTTCCTTATGACTTTAAAATTTGGGTTTTGTGTAATCTCCTTCAAATAAATCAAATGAAAAACTTAAGGGGGGATTTATTTACATGGATTGGCCACAATAGTTCTAAAAATTAGATGAAAATTTATGTAAAAGTTTGGACTAATCAGAAACATGGTCCTCAGATCAATTATTTGTATGTAAATGTGGTTTTGTTGTCTTATTTCTATAATGTTTGGAAACCACATTCAACCTGCCAGTTTCAGAAGTAATCAAAATTATCTGCTCATTCAAACAATTGTTACTCACCAAAACCCACATAATACAGAAAACAGGTTATTTTCCAAAGGCTCAATTATAATTTATTAGTGCTCTTGCCACATATCCACAATATTCTTACATTTGGATTCTGAAAAGATGACAGTGAACAGGGAAGGAAGGAGGGGACAACATGGATGTTTATGCAATTCTTGACAATGTGTCAGCTCTCAATTTCTTGAATCAACTGGAATTCTCTTGCACGAGTAATACTGAGGAATCACTTCCTTTACTTTAAACTCCACAAAATTTTGTTTTTCTCAAAAAGAACATCTACAAGGAACTCCTGGGAGCTGTAGCAGCAAACTGATCATCTCACTCAACATTTCGTCACGCTCTTAGGCATTAGCTAAAACTACAAATGTTCAATTTATTAAATTCATATTCCTCTTTGGTGGTTAGTCTAGAATTACTTTTCAATGAAGGAGTCATTTTTCCCCAAGACCCATGTGGCCTTTTAAAAACATCTAACAGTTCAAATTAACTTTCACTGACAAAAATCAGCAAATTTTCACCCAAAAAGATGAACTTCCATTTCGTAGACAGCATCGTGTAAACTAGTGCCACCACAGACCTCAGTAATGAGGTGGAAGATGGCTCAAGTGTGAACAAAGCAAGAAAATCTGAGACAAAAGAAAAGTGTTTGAATCCAGTAGTGTCTGATTTAAACCGACGTCCGTCAGGTCAGTGACAGAGGTGGAGGTGAGAGCAGGGGCAGAAGGGATGGAGTCATTAGAGAGACTTCGAAGGGCTTGCTTGGATCTTTGTGTGTGCAGATTCAATTCAGTTTATTTATATAGCGCCAAGTCACAACAGAAGTCATCTCAGGGCACTGTGCAGATGTGAGTATAAGCATCAGAGTTTAATTCCCCTGCTTCAAAGAGAAGGATTTTGTGAAAGCACAAGGCAGGGAAAGGTTTATGGCCACAGGGAGAAGATGGAGCAACAGGCTCCTTTGTTGTTCTCTGCTCTTGGTCGGGTCCAGGTGTTAGCCACAGGTCAACGGACTGAGACGCTACGCCAGGGAGCGCTGACGAGGTTTGATTCTAGGATAGAGCTGCAAAGAAAAACACGGAGAGGGGAAATCTTTGTCACCGAAACATTTATGCTTCCTACTTTGCATCCGTACTATACATATACAATGATTTGTTTCAGGTTCATATTTCACCAGCTTCATAGTTAAGTAATTTTTATTTAATATTTAATAATGTGCGTGATAGTTCATTATTTGAATTTGATTATTTATTAGATTATTAAACCTTATAATGAAAAAGAAAAAAACCCAACACATTAAAGACAAAACTGATGGGTAACATCAAGACAGTTCTACTAAAAATTAAAGGCATTATCAAATTTGAGATACTTCATTAAAAATACTTTCAGGAAATAAGGCAAAACAACCAGATTTTAACTGTTATGTAATACTATGTAGCTAAGACACAAATGCAAACACTTTTCAATGTTGATTGAGGGTTATTTGGCCAAAGCAGCTTCTGAATGCTTCTTGAAACCATCTCTAAACCTGCTGAAGGAATTCTTTCAAACTATGTTTCCAATGAAATGTTTGGCACTTGATTTCTTCTTTCTTTTTAATATATTATATTCCTCCTTTCCTAAAGGCAGCACAGCAGCCTCTCTGCAGGATGAAAGCGTACTCTGGTACTCTGACGCTGCAGGTCAGCTCGAGGCTCAGTAAATGCCCAGTGTAGCATTTTGGAAACTATCTCCAACTATTTTCACACATTCTGTCTTTGCCTCACAACCTGGAAGCATCTTCACTCATCTGTGTGTAATTCACTGAACAAAAGATCTCTCGACATTTGAGTGGATTCTCAGCATTTCAGATGCATCCTGACATACGTGCGGACCACCGTGATGCACTGAAACCTGTCAGGTCTCTTGTTCATCATGCGTGCGCATTTATCACTAGATAAACTGAGAAAGCTCCTCGGATGAGAAGCGAAACATCTTCGGTTACAAAATAAAAGTCCAGTTGTTTTTGTCTTGAACGTTGTTGAATTTACCATGTCCTGGACGACACAATCTTCACCAGCATATTTATCACTATAATTAGTTAAAATCTTTACAGAAAAATAGCTTAAATAATCATGAAGATTTTGTTTTTGTTATTTGGACTAAATTAGGACTATTAGCAATTATTAAAGAAGTTTTTTTTATTTCTGTGCTTACAGTTTGGAGATAATTGTTCTCTTTAGAAATGTAAGTGAAAGTAACAATAACACACTGATGGATAGTTGCAATAAATGATTCATGTTATTATTTTTATTAGTTATTAATCTTTATTTAACCAGGCAAATCTCACTGAGATCTCCGATCTCTTGAAAGGGAGGTCTGGACCTGAAGTCAGCTAGTAGAGTAATGTTATTATCTTGAGATATACATTTTTCTATGGATACGGCAACTTTTAAGTTTCAGTAAAGCAGATAAAACACAGGTGCATCCAAAAAAAAAAAAAAAAAAGAAGAATATTGTGAAAAAGCTGAATTTATTTTGTCAATCATTTCAGAAAGTGAAACTCATATTACATAATTTCATTACACAGCGTGAAATATTTCAAGCCTTTCTTTATTGTAATTTTGATGATTATGACTTACAGATAATGAAAAACCAAAACTCAGTGTCTCAGAAAATTAGAATATAGTGAAGTTCCATATAACTCATGCACACTGAGCTGAGGAGACAGAACTGGACTGTTGCTCAGTGGTCCAACGTCCTCTTTTCAGATGAAAGTAAATTTTCATGAAATATGGAAATCAACGTCCCAGAGTCTGGAGGAAGAAAGGAGAGACCCAGAATTCACATTGCTTGAAGTCCAGAGTCAAGTTTCCACAGTGAGTGATGGTTTGATGCCATGTCCTCTGCTGGTGTTGCTCCACTGTGTTTTTTGAAGTCAACAGCCAGGTAAGACACTTCTGAAGTTGTCTCAGGTTCAGGAGTGGCTTGACTTATGGAATAAACATTTGTAGCCCATGTCCAGGGCTGCCATTCATCTGTGCATAGTGTGCATGAGTTTTTAATATGGAACTTTATCACTATATAGTAGTCCCTCATTTATCAAGGGGGATCCATACCCTGAAGCTCTGCAATAAGTGAAAAACCATTAAGTAGGAATAGTAGTACAAGAAGTAAGATGCTTCTCACACTATTGCAATATTCTAAACAATGTTTCTAAACTCTAAACGCAATGTCAGGATTTCCCCCTCTCTGTCTCTGTTGCTCTCTGCCACCTGCCAGCGCTCTCGGCCACGCCCACTTCTCCACTGCAGAGCAGAGATATGACATGCTGTAGGAGGAAGCTTCTGTAGCTGTGGGCTGCATACAGACTTGTGCACAGGTGCAGCAGGTGCTAAATTATTTAGAATAATTTATTTTCAAATAAAAATTCCATGCCAATCATCCATCAATCAACCAATTGTGTGTCATGTCCAATCTTACTTTGAAAAACCACGATAAAGCGAGTCTGTGAAAAACAAACCACGAAGTAGCGAGGAACTATTCTAGTTTTGTGAGACATTGAATTTTGTTTTTTCATTATCTGTAAACCATAGTCATGAAAATTACAAGAAATTAAAGATTGAACATTCCACTCTATGAAATTATTGACAAAAAAATAGTTAATTTGTTAATTTTTTTCACGACATTCTAATTTTTTTTAGATGTGCTGTTTTTCAGTCTCAGTTAGTAGTTAGCCAGATTATCAAATTATCTGCTTTACTGAGCTCAGCTTTGATTAAGCAGAAAAAATAAATAAATGTGAGAAAACCCTGGCAATTAGTTAATTGATTAAACCTAATTAAAACCCGACAATGTGTTTGCCATTACCCCCAGCAGGTTGCGGGGCACATAGCCCTCTTTGTCCTCGAGCCGCGCCCCCCACCACTCCGTTTCATTCTCATCCTGGCGACGCAGAATGGTGATGGCGTCCCCTTCCTTAAATGACAGCTCATCTGGATTCTGGGTTTCGTAATTCCACAGAGCATACACCGTTCCCTTGTTCATCACGCCTAGCTTTTCTTGAACACCTACGTAAGAAAGTTCAGGACAAAGACTTTTATAAACCTGATTCTGTTTTCACAATTTAACACGTAGAAACATACTTTTGCTGTTTCTCACCATATAGAAACTGGGAACATTGGATGTAGCCCTCCTCCATTTCCTCGCATTTATCTGCAGCAGTTTCCACATCACTAATGGTAGTGGCAAAAATGGCAGCTCCCGACTCCACCAACAGTTTGCAGAGATGAACGCTGTTGCAGGAGGCGGCACAGTGAAGTGGAGTCCTGCTCAAACACAAGCAGACATTTAATGGACACTGAAACAAGGAGTCATCCAGCGTTCGTGCCTTAGACTCACCATCCATCACTGTCTGCAGCATTGACGTTCACACCAAAATCCAGCAGGAACTTGACTATGTGGTGGTGTCCCGCGCAGACGGCGTTGTGAAGCGGTGTGATGCCCTCATCGTTGGGAGTGCTGGGATTCTCCACCTGGAAAAAGCAATGAAAAGATGTCACCGCCCTGCATATACAAACATAAACATATAAAGTGTACAGGCACTAATAATGACAAACCTCATAGATGACCCTCTGAACCAAATCAAACTCCCCCTCCAACGAGGCGTCGAGCAGCAGAGCTAGAGGATTAAACTTTACTCTGAAGCTGTGACCTGTGCGCTCAGAGTCGGGCTTCTTTAAGTTTGTACGCTTCTCCTTTAACAAAGAATTACACTTTCAGTTGATGAAATTTTAACTTTTTAAATCCAAAATAGACATTTATATGCCTCTTACCAGCTGTGAGCCTGCTGTGCCACTTTCCTCCGGGGTGCTGACCTCCAGCACAGGGCTGGGTAAAGACGCCTCAGAACCTCCCACAGTATTATTGTTGTCATCTTCTGGTTCCTCGTCTTCAGAAGGATCTTCGGGTTCTTCAGGTGAACAGGGCGCTGGCTCATTATCATTAGCATCTATGGTGGTGGGTGGAGTCTCAGAGCCTGGTTCTGCCTCCCCTGGTGCTGGTTCCAGCGGTGTCTCAGAGAGGTTGCCATTATCTGTGTCAGCCAGAGAATCACCTCCCAGATATCCTGGAGGATTAGCTGGTTGATAAAATGGTGTTCCATTACCGGCGCCGTTACTTCCTCCTGATCCACTGACAGCATTCCCTTCTATGCTTCCTGCTAGAGTGTTGAACCGCTGGTAGAGCAGTTTCTGGATGTTGGGCCCACTGGGGCCCTCTGGTTCTGTGATGGAACTGCGCTTCTTGAGCGGCCTTGGAGCGTTAGCTAACTTTTTACGAAGCACTTCGAGGTCGGCATCACTTTGATAGCGCAGTGGGGAATGTACCATAGGCATTAGCTTTGTAGGACTGAGCGGTCGCGGGATATTTTCGACGCTGGGTGGAGGCGCTGATGGCTCCAGGTGCTGGAAGCTCTCAAGATCATCAAGTTCTCCATCTACAGTGTCCTCACTACCTGGTTGGCCTTGAAACACGGGGAAGGCTCCACCTGCCTGGACGAAAGGCAGGGGAGAGGGTGGCGTCGAGCTGGAGGAGAGAAGGGGCTTCCCATAAACTAGAAGGAAACAAATGTGGAATTATGAACATTTAATTCATATTTTATTTACAGATTTCTTTGTTCAGGTCATAGTCTGAATGATGAATCAGTATTCAATCAAGTTTCCTTTTTTTAATCTAATGACATTTTACTACTTGAGACATTTATATAGAAAACATTTAGGAACCATGACTTTTGATAACTTTTATACTTTTTAAAACATTGAAATTTACAATACGTCACTCCTCCCTCAAAAAAACAAAACATTTCCTTCAAAAACATTTTTTATGTGAAATTTGCTCCAGTATATTTACTCTATTTCTGTCTCCCATTACGTTTAGATTTAAACTAGCGTTTGGTTGCTTTTACCTTTAAACTATACATCTGATTCTGCTTTTTGACACTTATAACTAGCATTTTATTTTTTTATATATTGTTCTGCTCTTTCTACCTTTTAGCTAGTAGTTTGCTTCTTTTAGCTTTAACAACTCAGTTTCAGTTTCCACAGCAAATTTCAGCAATTAGCACGCCAAAAGCTTTTCACAGAAAATGCGATTTGTCAAGTTAGACTTAAATTTCATACACTTTTTCAAACCTCACCTGCTTTGAGAGCAGGCTTTAATGGTTGGTTCTTTGGAGCCGCCTGCTGGAGGTACATGTGATAAATGGAGCTCGAATTCACGGTAGGGGGGCCTTTACGGGGCGACTGAGGTCGTGATCCTCTGTCTGGGATGAAGGGGCGCACCGCCACAGCTGGCGGAGGATCCAGACGCTCACTTAAACCAGGAGGGAAATGTGGCGGGTTAGGCTGGAAGGTGGGACTTGGTGGAACTGAAATGCGCTGCTGGATCTGCTGAGAGGATGACCCCATGGAAGGGGGGACGCGGGGCCACGCTGGAGCTGGTGGGTTTGGGAGCGGGCGAGGGGGAGGCACATCTTTGCGGCGCTCCAGGGAGCTGGCTGAGTTGGCAGAAATGAGGTGGGATCCATATGGCGGTGGCTGTGGTTTAGTTATGGCAGGGGAAGATACAGCAATTTTAGAATCTAGCGCCTGTGAAAAAGCAGGAAATCACAAATATTCACAACATGAAATAGATGCAAGAAACACAGACACAAAAACTATTTTTCTATTTGTTTAAAATCAATAAGTCTGTTTGTTTCAATTAATGAAAATGCTTCAGTAAAAAAGGAAATAGAAATAGATGAACATTACATTAGGACAGTTTAGAAAAAATTAAGAAACTGTACCTTTTCTATATTTGGAGTGACAGGAGAGCCTGAGGGGGGGCTTTTGCCCTGACTATCAGTCACCGAGTCTCTCCTCTCAGGAGGCTTTAGAGTTGTGCTGCTCTTACCGACAGCCGGCCAACCACTGTCATTAGCTGGGAAGAGCAAAACACAGTAACTCTGTTGCAAATTTTAAGAACTCACCACAGTGATGAAAAATGTCAATTAAAAGTTTGATCTAAATTAAATTTCACTATTCTGTTTTTGGTTCGTTTAATTTTACGTATCATGTGTGGGATTCGGCACAATGTTGACAAGCATTTAAAGAACAGTACATTATAAAATAAATGAAGGAGTCAGGATTTTAAAACAGTTATCCTATTAATCAGGAGCCATACTCAAAAACTGCTTGTTCAAATGAATATTTAAATTTGGAAACGGCAGAAATGCCAATATATTTTTAGAAAAGTTGTTTTGTGTCCTGTTTACTTTGTAACTCTGATTATCAATATGCATTGATCATTTGATGATAATTTTTCTCTGTATACATCTTTTTTTTTTAAAGGTGTTTTAACAAATTATTGCATTTACATTTTCCTAAAGCTACATGGACAGAATTATTAAAAATGTGGCGTAAATATTTAATTAAAATGAAACTAATCAATAGGACAAAAATCCTGAGTCTCATCTTCACAGCAATGTCAATGGGCATGTATATATTAGTATTTAGCTTCTGTTCTTGTGCTGAATGATAGATTTAGGAACAGACAACAAATAGTGCGATAGACAGAAAAAAAATCACTAAAATTGTAGGATGGATAAGGTGAAAAGAGTAGATGGAAAAAGGAAAAACAGACATATAAATCTAAGTAGAAGCATTAAAGCTGTAATACTGGTGACAAAAGATGTGTCTAAGAACTCAACATAGATATCGATCTCTTATGCCTCACTTGGATCAAGTGCAGGCTCTTTACCATCAACAAGCACGGCAGCCATGAAACTTAACTGTGTGCAATATCAGGACTTATGACTCATCCGTTTTATTATAACTACACCTGTGTTTAATTAATTCAAACCTGTCCCTTTATGCACATAGAAGAGCATTTGTTATCAATAAATTAAATTTGTTAAAAGAGTCTAGTGATGCTTTTATGCACAAGTTAAATTCCTTGTGCGTGCAAGTGTTTAACACTAGCAAATCTCCCAGCTTTCGTTGTTGTGAAGATGAAATGTTAAAGTTGGGGTAACAACAGGCAACGTGGCAATGTTATGAAGTCAAAACAAAGCTTCAAGATAAATAGTTTGCACGTGTACATTCATGAAGCGCTCAACTCTTCGAACCTTCTCCAAAGTGTTAAAAACACACACAGGATCAGCAGTGCTTTCCCTGCTTTATATTATGTCAGTTGCAACCAAACATATATTTCTGCAGCTTGTAAAAAACTGTTTTAGCATCACGCCTCATTACTTTGAAATAAACCAATTGAATTCACACAGAAAAAACAGCCTGAATGGAATGACATATTTTTTCCAATTTAAAAAGAGAAAGTAGCAATAATTGAAAATTGATTCAACTGCAGTTTTTCTACAATACATATAATTTGAGGCTGAAAATAACCACTGTTCCATCAATTTGGTAGTAATAAATAAAGCAGTAAAGGGCTTATAGAGTTACTGGAAAAAAATGGTTTTGGGGTACTTTTAAAATATCTTAATAATTCCAGTAACAAGCAACTAATTTGGATAATGCGGATCATTTTTATTTTACACAATTGTTAATTGAGAGTAAACACGAATGCATCCTGAGGATCCTGTGCAGAGAGACCAGGTTCAGCAGTTGCCATCCTTTTGCTTATGCAGCTCGTTGCACTCACGAGACGTGCCGTCAGAGCCACTGGAGGCTCCAGGACCAGGGTGAGATTCTGGAAGGAACGGGGGTATCGGGTCCACAACGATGTCTAAATCAGACACTTTCCAAGGGCCTGGGGGCTTTCGCACACCGTCTGCCCAAAGGAAGAAAAGCCCCCGATCCCACCCAATCCCATCGAAACAAACATTACAAAGACAGGTGACAGACCAGGAAAGACATGAGGGACATACAGTTTACACAACACAGGAAAAGAATCAGGTTAGAGAGGAAGGGAAAGGAAATTAAGTCCAACTAACAGAGTTCAGGTGGGGAGGAAACTGTTCTGGCACAAAAGGAAAAAGCAGAAAAATAGTTTGTGCACGATGTGTTGAATGTGCACTAGAACGTTCATACTACATGCTGGATAAAGAAGCTCTTTTTAAAAAAAAAAATCCTATCAACATGGAACATTATCTGTTTGAAACAGCTGATCTGACACTGAAACCCACTTCCCTCCAGGTATTTGTTCGTGAAAAAATGCACATATCGGATTTGTGCCTAGGTTAAAAGATTAATCTTAAAATTCTGTTCCAGACACAAAACCTCTATGCAAGACTAAATGTATGCATTAAAAACTTCTCACCGTCTTACATTATGAAAAAAATATGATGTCTAAATAAATAAATATTAAGATTTCATACATTGTAGCCAACCTGATTTGGGGCGTCCTTGGTTTGCTTGATTATTAACACCTAGTGTTTGAGGCTTCAGCGGATCAGGCGGCATGGTGTAGCCCCCATCCTGTCGACTCGGCACAGGAACCTGGATGTATGGCCCAACAGCAGCAACACGACCGAGAGTCCCAGGAGCTGGTTGGGGAGAGGGAGGCCCATTGGCTCTATTTAGCTGTAAGAGAAAAAAAAAAAAACAATGTTAAAAAAAGATCCTTATAAGGATTCTTAGCTTGTTTAAGTGACCCAACAGGCTTAAGCTAAAAAAATTTGACGACTCTGTAATTTCAACCAAACAACCATCGAAGAAAAGTATGAGCTAAGTGCTCCTAATCTTACAGGGAGATTCTCTTTTTGACGTGCCTCAGCTTTTTTCTTGTAGAGGCGTTCCCGCAGCTCGCTGATGCGCTTGTCCATGAGTGTCACTTCCATGTTGCGCTTGTTCAGAAGCTCCTTCTGCTGCTGCAGCTTGCTGTTTTGCTCCTGGTTCAGTTTGTTCCGAATCTGAAGATGTTCATTTCAATTACAAGCAAATAAAGTTCACATGACCAGTACAGGCTTCTGTCACTGTAGTCAAGAGTAAAGTAAACGTAATGGAAAGATTACAAATATGGTGAGCCTTACCTGAAGTTCTTGGTAAAGCTTACGGAGCTCTAAGGCTGCAACACCAGTTACTTGGCTACTAAGACCAGTCTGGACTCCATTCAGCTTGCCTCTTCTCAGATCTTCCAGCTGCAGGCTAAGCTGTTCAACCCTGAGGACCGCCGCCTGCAACTCGGACTGCTTCTCTTGAAACAAGCCGCTCACTTGTTCAATCTCTGCTGCTGCATGTGGCACAAACGAGAAATCCCATCAGCTCAATCAAAACCCAACATAAATGCCAACAAATACTGTCAGGAGCTCTAACAAACACCGGTGATGATGTAATGGTACAAATACATACTTTTATTCTTTACACAAAAAGTAATAAAGCAGAATTGAACGGATATTGAGAGGAATTTTTTATTTTTTTTGTAAAAGTGAAGTATCAATTTTCTAAATATGGGAACATTTTCAAGCACAACTTGTGCCTCACTTTCCCCAGCAATATACACATACAGAGTATAAAAGTCTATAAAAAAAAGTAATAAACTTGAGTACATATAGTACGTTTACATACATAAATTGCTGTTGATGACCTTGCTGTAGTCCACCTGGCCTCTCATTGCTCTGATCTTCTTGAGCTTTGCCTCCTGGCTCTCCACACGTTCCTTCAGCTTCTGTAACTTCTCACTCTCGGACACGGTTTGCTGCTGGCGCCGCTCCTGCTGCTTCAGGTAACGCAAACGTTGCTCCTGATTAACGCAAACATATTTGTGGAAAAATCAGACTCTGTAGAAGTGTTTTTTTAAAATTGGAGGGTTGCATTATACAAGTCCAAGTGAATTATATCTGTTCAATACAATTTTTGTCAGTCAATTTTTCATTTGCATGCAGAGTAATCCCAGAAGCCCCAACTCCAAAGAGCACAAGACATTTATGATGATGGTATGCCTTTAAACTAGGCTAAATTCCTATTATGCGAGGCACTGTGTCAAGTTTGAAGGATGGAGAAAGGGCCAGATGACTATCTGTACCCAAGTGAGAATTGCTCCAGTTAGGACCCTAAAATAGGAAATGACAGGCCCAACTTTCCAAATGACTGCAGGGCTTCAAGTGACCCTTCTTTTCAGACACCACAACACAAGCAATAATTAGTTTTACTATCTGTGGGTCTACAGTAAGCTTCGTCTTGCATGACTGAAGAGCAGCTCATGAGCACTAATGTCAGGGTGAGTTTAGTGAAAAGACACGAGTGACACAGCTGACCATTTATGTGGTTTACTCTACTTCCATTTCTTCTAATAAAAGGAGAAATCTGAATATGACAGAATCAGGCAAACAGAAGCATATCAGATGGATCAAAACTTACTAATGATGCTGGTTATTAATATTGAGGAAATAAAACAGACATTTTTAAAAAGAAAGTGACACTGTGGAGGTGTTCTTTGTTTTTAAGGGGATAAAATGTTTCAATGGACTCTACAAACTGTACCTTTGAACACATTCATATATTAACTTAACCACCAGCAGATAATTCTGATGACTCAAACTGCGTCCTGTCTTATTTGTTATGTACAAGGTGCTCCTATTTAAGGTTACACTGGATGATAAGGACTATTGTGCTGCACTTTATTTAGACCTGTCTAATGATTTTGATACCGTCGACCATGACATCTTATACCATAAGCTCTCAGACATTGGTTTCTCAGATCACACTATCGGTTGGTTTTCTAATTATCTCTCATATCGGAGGCAATTTGTTCAACACAGTGGTACTTCTTCCAGTTATTTAACTGTCAACAATGGTGTACCACAAGGTTCAGTCTTAGGACCCACTCTTTTTACAATCTACTGTAAGTAAGATGCAAAAATCAATGCAGACATGCTTATGTTTTTAGTATTTTTTGCCCGTTTCATAATGTAGCTTGTTCTTACTTGGTTTTATAGCACTACTTTTATTTACATTTCATTTTATATGCTTTTCACGATTGTTTATTTTTGTGTGTACCTCATCAGTTTTTTTAACAGGTCTCTCTTGAAATGTGCCCTCGTGACTCAATGAGACTAACCTGTATACATAAAGGTTGAATGAAAAAGGTTACAAGACATGTGCATCATTCATTTGACTTCCGAGTTATCAAAGCCTGTGTCCTGATATTAATGCTCAGTCTGTAGTATTCAGAAGTAGCAATTTAAGTAGATTTATTTTCTTCAGGGAAGGGAACTGATCAATAAATTCAACCAAGTTCTTCTTCCTAAATTGTTTCCTTAGAGAACTTTTACTAAATGGCTTTTATAATTGTATGTGAATGTTTTTGTACAGTGCCCTGAGACAACTCCTGTTGTGACTTGGCGCTATCCAAATAAACTGAATTGAATTGAACTACATTGACCAAAATAGTGATTAATTTGTGTCACTGAAATGTTTGGGCAATACGCTTGTAGCATAGAAAATTAACATGTACTGAATACTTTTTAATTAACTTTAGCTTGTTTAAAAACAAAAAGCAGAAAGGAAACAAAATTGTGAAATTGGCTGCTTAGAAGACCAGACCATCTGTCAAATAATTGCTCATCTTGAGGAGAAAAATAAATATAAAAAAATGCATAACCTTTACAATTTTATACATCCATAAACTGGCTAAGTCATTTTACAACTACCTTGCCATTTAACAGGTATTATAAACTCAATTTATTTATATAAGTGGATTCACATTGACATAAATCTTTAGGCACATAATTTAACAATATAAAATAAAAAGGAGGAAAATATTTTTCATTGCAAACAGCAAGCCAAAAACAGAGCAATGCCTCTTTACTGCAGTGTATCGTGTTTGTAAAAAGCAGACAACGTCTTGAAATTATAATTTTGTTTATCAGATGTTAAAATAAATTAATAATCAGAGAAAGGATTCCGGGAAAAGTATTAGATAAAGGCTCTACCTTTGCAATAAGCATCTGCTGCTGAGCCTCAATTTGTTGCTGCTGTCGTGTGGCCATCTCCTGCAGCTCTGACAGTGTGAGCTCTACTCGCTGATTCCCCACCTAGACACACACACATACACAAACACACACACACTGGTCAAGATATTAAATTCTGACATAATGAGCATCTGAATCCATAACACTTGTTATGTTTCATGTACTGGGGAAAACAAAGTAAAAGAATGTGCAACAGGCTCAAATGGGCATTTCTAAAAGTCATTTGGGATTCAGACCAGGTCATGACCTGAGATTTAGTTCCTCCCCATGAGTAGCATAATTCAGGTGGGTAGATATGACGTTTTCCTCCAGCCACAGCATCAAAATGTTGCAGCTTTTTACTAAAAGCTGACACTAAATCATTAGTGTTTATCTTTGTGCATCTGAATGCCACCACTCTATAAATTTGAGAAGCAGCAGGTCGACGACAACTGCACAAGTCATAAAGTACAGCATAAAAATAATCTGGGGGTTATTTTAAGATGACCAACAACATATAAAAATAAAAGCATTAAAACAAAGAAACAATGTGCAAAAATAAAAATTTTGTTAAAAATAATTAATGTCTGTCATCCATGGTCTGTGGGTCAAACATTAGATTTTACAACACTGAGTCAGAGTTGTCCTTCTCCAGAAACATTATTGTGATGAGAGATTAAAAGTGATGAAGACTCAGTTTGCAAAATATCAGTTTATTTTTATTGCCTGAGCCTTTTTGTTTACTGTGCAAAACCCTGCATGCTTTAGTTGTAGGTGTTGATAATCAGCCACCTCTCAGTTGTATGGATAAATTCAGTGTCCAAGCAGGAGATTTTTAAAGGTGTGTCAGTTTTGCCCGACAGTCTGCGGTATCAAAATCAATAATTGTATAAAAGTGTGAACATGAATGTTTTCTACAAGACTATTTTCAGATACCTGTTAGCAATTACTGTCCAAATATTCAGTGAAAAAATGTTCTCCACTGCTACTAGGGATCAACAATAGATTACCTTTCAGGAAAACATTATGTAACAAATAACTATAACAGCCTCCCACTAATTAAATTAATATGTTCTTTTGTTCAGCCCCATCTCACTAAGAGAGCAGAATAAATGTAAATATCTTGTGTAGATAAATGTTTTGTGTGACAAAATATGGAGATTCTTTGTTTCAGTAACTGCAGTGACCTTAGGCAGGTGGTGGCTTTGTTGATGCAATTCAGTGTTTTCTTCCCAATGTGATGTGATATGAAAGTTGTGCCACCAAATGGCAAATTACCCTTGGAGGCTCACACACTTTCAGATAACAGAATCCAAATAAAATATCTGAAGAATCTTCTGCTGCAGTAGAGACTAAAGATGGTTTATTCCCCCCACCCCTCTCTATGGTACCTATATGATGCCTGAGATCTTTCAGAGTAAAGAAGATTTTTCTGACACTTTCAGTTCTGTTTTTCACTACACCTAAACTCAAACTTCTACTCCACCAGAGCACCTCTGGTTATAAAAGCACATCGAGTGAACCTGAGTGAACCTCGAGTGAACCTCCAAACACGCTTCTCGGAAATGCTTCAAACAATTCCAGCTTGCCTTTTTAAGGGATGATCTGAGTGAGAAGCTGAAGCGGAGAATGTCACAAAATTCCTAAAATAATACATACTTGTTCTAAAATATCCTGTTTCACTGGTGAAGAGCGACTTACTATGAAGTATTTGCATAAAGATGAAACAACAAACAAACAGACAGACAAGGACAATACTACCATGCACCTCTCTAACGTGATTCGTAGAGGCAGATATACTCGTGACTCATCTAGTCTGAATAAAACATGCCTTCTTTTCTGGAATTACACTGTACTGCAACAGGGTAGAAGCAGCAACATTCAAAGACCTCTCTGCAGAATCACCAATTCAACTCAGTCTTTCTCTACCTGGCATTTGTTAATGCATTAATACAAAAGGAGGTCGAGAAGTGTTCGAAAAGGAGAGCAAGCTGGTAAGAGCGTAGGAAGCCACAGGCACACACACACAAGGCCACGCTCAAATGAACTCAGACACCACATCAATGACGATTTACCCCAGGGAGAAACAAACACACACACACACACACACACACACACACCCTTCAATCATGGTAGCGAAACAAACGTCCAACGGAGCAGACGGTGGAAGGAGACGAAGCAGGCACATATTCACTGATGAGGTTCCTCCACTGGGACTCACAAACAAATGGCATGAATGTGTTCATCATTCAACTGATTGTGGAAGTGTTTTCAAAACAATTGTCCAAACTACATGAGAGAATAAACCATGAGGAATACTACTCCCCACTCAAGGTGTTAACATCTAAGGTGCAAACATTTTGTAAAAGCACAATGGATTATTGGAGTAGCCAATCAGACCAAACCTTTAAGTTTCTGAACATGCACCTTTTCCCTAAAATGCCTACCAACTATCATTAGAGTTCAAGTTCAAGTTGTGTTTATTTCACATGCAAGGTTAACACAAGGTTACCAGTACAATGAAATGCTTAGGATCAGAAGAACCGATTTGACTCAAATAGAAAAAAAATCAGAGAACTAACAAACAAGAAATACTAAAAACATGCAATAAGGGTACAAAATATACCAAAAAGTGAAAAATTATAATATTTACAATGTCCTACAGAGAGATAGTAAAGAACAACATGATAGAATATAATGGTGCAGCAGGATGCATTTGAATGAACAAGTATTTCAAGGTAGTAATATGAGCTGAAATGCACATGATATATACTGTATATACTATATATATATAAATATATAGCACATAATTAACATATACTACACAGGTTGTGTGACAGGTTCTTGAACATGGAGATTGAATTATAATGGTAAGGTAGACACATATGGTAGATACTGTATCATACATGATACAGCCTACATAGTGCAGCAGCAATAAATAATAAACATATTAGCTGCCACAAGCTAATGTTAGTCATATTAGTTGTCACAGATGGGGCTTGGTGCAATGTTATTGCCAGTTGTTCAGTGTTATTTATCGAGTTTAGTAAACTGACAGCTTGTGGATAATGGCTGTCTTTGAGTCGTTTTGTACGCGATGGTAGAAGTTATGGAAAAAAAAAAAGATTGATAAATTTAAAATGCATGCAGACAATGAGGTACTCCCTTGACTGAGGGTTTGTCTAAGCAGTAGCATCCCACAGAGTAAATGATCGGTTTTGGTTTGCAGAGAAACTGTCTCCATGGGTTCAGACTGTGAAAAAGCCAAAGAAACTGTCCTTGGAGTCATCATCCAACAGGCTGACTAATACTATTCTCTAAATCAAACACTGAGAAGAAACACCAAAATGAAATGAACTCTGGCATTTAGGTTATGAATGCAGCTCGTATTCTACGACAGAGTGAATGTTACCCAGGAAATTAACGGTTTGATTTAAGTTAGAAGCACAACATTGACAATGCTTCAACAGTGTTTTGGTGAGTACAGTAATTTGTTTCAAGCTATAATCCAAATATTTACACTTAATTAGTTAAGTTTTAAGTCTCTGATTTATCATAAACACATAGCGCTTGCAGTAATGTAAAGATAACTAGGTCTTTACCGCTGCTCTTCCTCATCTCTGCCATGTAAAAACTGTCCATCTTTCAACTTGCATTACTGAATATATGACCACATACCATCACAGCGTTGACTGGCAGAGTGATGAAATGTTGATGGAGGATTTTGGACGAGTTAGTCAGAATCTGAGCACACGGAGTGAGTCTTCACATTCACCTCGACGCTTCTGTCAGCACTGAAAGTGTCAATAAATCCCAGTGTTCCAGTTTCATCAGTAGCAATAAAAACCCAGGTTTTGACTGATGTAGTGGTGCTTGGGGTCATAAGCTGTTCAATTTTCCCCCACTTCATTCTTTCAGTAGCTTTTACGCATTTCATTCATCTAACACTGCTCTTCACATCCTGCTTTTTATATCTGTGCAACCAGTCATATTTTTAGATATTGAAATCTGCCAAAGTTTTAGTACTTTATAAGTCCCGTTTTGTTAATTGATAAGAAAGTATTATTCTAAATTGTGTTACAATGCACATAAATTGTGTCCGCTGCCTTTGATATTCATGTATTTATTCTGTTTGCATAAACTGATGTTAAATCTTTTTTACTTTTCACATTGACAGGCTTAAACGGTCATTTTGGCCAAATGCTTAATTGTTAAAGAAAAATGAAAAGTAAAACAGACCAAAAATACCTAAATCCTTTAGTCATGAAGCAGCACCCTGTGTGAAAACTGTCACAAACAAATCTCTCAATCAGCAGCATTTTTAAAAGCACTGTATGAGCGTAAATGAGCGTTTTCCATTGTCTGCTGTGTAAATAATATTCATTTTGACCTCCAATGAAACAAAATTGAACATAACATTTTATTTTGTGCAAAACAAACAAAAAGAATAGCTCCTGGGTGCTTTTGAACAAAATGACATCAGCTTTTTTTTTTAAAACAAAATCTGCACTCCCTTCATCTTGACAGCAGATCTGGTTTCTTGTCTTAACCCTAAAGGTTCAATTAGTTACATTCCCTTGACCACAACATTTTCCACGTAAAATCTGGGACAGATGGACGGACAGAGAAAGAATGCCACGCCGGAGGCTGCTCTTATCAGAGTCATTCACATCTGCAAGCAAGCATGTCCTAAAAGCAACAAAACGTGACATGCAGAGCAACAGGAACACATAAAAGGAAACACATCTGAAAAAGACATGCTCGAGAATACCACCATCAAGGACTTTACACCAGATTCATATCCACCAACACTACTTCTTTTATTTAGAACAAAAACAGGAATTACACAGGATTAGTAAACAACAGCTAGGGCAAGAATGAATGCTTTGGCTCGTTTCTAAAGATCCTGTAATGTTTTGCTATTAATATAAACTTAAAAGCATAATATGTAGTTAATGAAAAAAGTTAAATAATAGAAAAATCAGTGTTTAACAAAACTTAGATTTATTCTCACCCCATTTTCTTTGTGCTTCTCTCCAGTATTTCCACTCCTGCGGTTCGTTTGATCCTGAGATTGCTGACTCCCTGCAAAAACAAGCAGCGGTAACCATCATAAACCAGAGAAGCATTCGATACACACCTGACTGCATGTGCGCACACTACTACAATTTTAGAGACAAAAACTGTGTGTGGAATCATCTGAATGTTGACTGACAAGATTCTTCCTGACAATGGGGACTGACGCTGGTTATAAAGGCCTGGAGGAAATACAGTGAGCAAACACTGAAAATTTTACCTGGAAATTTGTTTTTTCTTTGCATTGCTCCCATTTAAACGTATTTTTTAAAAGGTTTTGATATATTTAAAACTGAATGTATAAATATCTGAGTCATTTTTCTTAAATTAGGGTGAAATAACATTTTCCAGGAGTGGCAAATCTATGAAATTTGGATGCAGAAATAAACCAGGGAACAGTAAAAGCTCAGCGCAGTACGAACCTTGATCGCTGCTTTCATTAGGCGAGTCCTCGTGACGAAGGAAGAACTTGACTTCTTGTTTTCGAGACCCCCACTTCTGCAGATGTTCATACATCATGTGCTCATAGGGGATCGCCCGTTCTGAAAAGCAGAAAAGTTATTGAAAGGATGAACAAGCTGACTGGCTAAGATCAATTTATCAGAGTGTCCCGTGAATCAAAATGAAACTCCGCATGCCAGTCAGTGAACAGCAGAGTTTTGTAAAGACGCTTTGAAATTGGTAAGTTTAAATGGTAAATTTATTTAAAAAAAAATACATAAATTGTTGAGTAAAGTGCATTTTGGGAAGGGGGTGGCTATGCTACTAAGTATTCAATTAAATTCAGTTTATTTATAAAGCGCCAAGTCACAACAGAAGTCATCTCAGGGCACTGAACAGAAACATTCATATAAATAAAAATAATTTAACAGTATTTATCTGAGGAGCAGACTGCTTTGAATTTGACTTCATCGCAGAACTCTCATCTTGAGCAAGCATGAAGGCGACAGTGGAAAGGAAAAACTCCCTCATGAGGAAGAAACGTATAGCAGAACCAGGCTCAGGACAAGCTTGTGTGTTTTGTTTACACACCTAAAATAACTCACATTTGTCCAAATTCTTTTGGTTCTTAACAATAAAAAGACATTTTGATACATTAAGGAACCCAGCAAATAATTCACTAAATGCAAAATCCATCCATCCATCCATCCATCCATTATCTTTACCCGTTTATTCCATTTTGGGTCACGGGGGTCGCTGGTGCCCATGTCCAGCAATCACTGTACGAGGGGCGGGGTACACCCTGGACGGGTTGCAAGTCCATCACAGGGCCACATAGAGACAAACGAGACAAACAACCATTCACTCTCTCACTCACACCTAGAGACAATTTAGAGTTACCAATCAGCCTAACATGCATGTTTTTGGTCTGTGGGAGGAAACAGGAGTACCCGGAGGAAACCCACGCAAACTCCACCCAGAAGGCCCCTGGACCGGGGTTTGAACCAGGGACCTGTTCGCTGAGAGGCAGCAGCTCTACCAGTTGCGCCACCGTGCTGCCTAAATGCAAAATACCTATTGGAACTAGGGATGCACAATATTATTGGCATGGTATGGGCCGATATTAGTGTTAAAATTCAATATCGGACATCGGTCATTCCATTAAAATAACTTGCCGATATAAAAGGTGCTGTTTTTGCCTACAGCGGCACAGCGTGATGACGTCATGTACGTCTAACTGATCACGGCGGAGAGGAAAATCCAAAATGTCAGCGGTTTGGAAGTTTTACTTTTCGTTGGTGAAGATGTTAGATTCTGAAGATTAATGGACTACGTTGAGCCTCACTACATCGTCCCCAGTCATAGATATTTTTCCGACGTAACGTTACCAGAGTTACAAGCCGTCATTTCCGATGTCATTGACAATCTAATAGCCGATAGCACGACTTGTTGGGTGAGTTTTACCACAGACATTTGGACGTCGTGTTAGCCCCGTTAGCATGATTAGTCTTACGGCACAATGGATAGACAAAAACTTTGAATTTAAAAAGTCTGTCTTTCACACAGAAGAGTGCAGATGGTCCCACTCTGCAGCTAGGAACCCAGAACAAGCCTCCACAAGTGAGACAGCATTGCAGGCGACTAATGCTAATAAATAACATTTAACACTTTTCATTTAATATAAGTTAAAGTGCTATGCATATCATATGGCTGTTACTGAATATATGTCACCAGCTCTTACAGCTGTTACACAATTTTTGTAGCAAATAAGCCTAAATAAGAGGCAATGTTCTGACAAAGGAAAGTATATAAAATATCGGTATCGGCATCAGTTATTGGCCAAATAAGTTTTAACGTATCGGCATATCGGATATCAGCCAAAAATCCAATATCGTGCATCCCTAATTGGAATAATTCACCGAGTTCAGATTTTGAAATTTAATATCAATGCTCCCCAAAAGCAAAAAGACGACATGGGGAGGGAAAAAAGGAAACAAAGATCCATGTTCTAGGAGGTTTAATGAGCAGTAAGCTAACAGGACTGCATAACTTCGGTCAATAAAGCTTTTTGCTGGTTTTGTGACGACAGTACAGGACCTTGTGCCAAATTAATAAATAAATAAATACATAGCTGATTGAATGGTTTATATAAGCATTATGGTTGGTGCAAATTGTTCTGAACAGAGTAAAATCTGTTGTGACAGTGCTGTCAGCTGTATGGGAACATAACCCTTCACTGACCTATGATTTTTTACTTGAATTACCCGACTTGGAAAAATGTCTTTCTTCTGCCTGTCATGCTCTGTTTCACTCAGGTAAGTTATGCATGACCCAGCTTAACTTACCTGAAGCTTCGTTAAAATAGAGTGCATTTTCAGAATAAAGAATTAACAGCTGAAGGCTTTCTAAAATGACATTTCTTTGCAATAAAGGAAAACGTCAAGTCAGCAACGATTAGTTTTCAGATTAGACCACCTTTTTTATTCAATACTAGAAGAAAAAAAAAATCCCCACTATTCTTCTTGTACAATGTGGCAAAGAACTGCGTACTGCTCCTTATAAAACTAAAACAGTCACTGCTGAGAGGTAATTTTACACACATCAGCAGATATAAAAGGCCTCTCTATCGAACCCAGCGTCGCTTCAGATCTTACCGTTGCCTCTCCAGACCTCAGCCAGATGGCAGCCGTTCTCGCCGGGCTCTTTGCAGAACTCGACGACATCGCGACACGTCGTCTCAGGTGTGATTGGTACCTCGGTTGCGGCTTGTTCCCCATCGCTAAGGTACACCGTCAATATCATCTGAAAGACGCACGAGAGCAGTCAGAGGTAGAATAAATAAACAAGATGACATAATGATAGCACACTTAATAAATAATGTAGAAGAAATCACAAAATACACCATTCCCCCATGATAAGGTTTAATAACGAAACTAAACCCACTCCTTTGATGCACAAGCCCACGGTGCTGCTGACGCCACATTTTGCTGCCGACCATTGGGACTGTTAGCTTGAGCTGTTCTGCCTGCATGCAGATACATTTTACAAAATCCTTATTGAGTATTTATTATCTAACAGCATGGATTTAGTATATACTGGTAACTGAAACAATACATCTATTGAAACAACAGATTAATTATCCTTCAGAGAACCAAAATTTTAACGTGACTAAATATAACATCTTAATTTGAGGATTCAGGACATACATGGTTGGTTTTCTGAAAATATAATTAATAGATACCAATTCCTTCTTCGATTACTCATCATTTGATCAAATGCACTAAAAAAAAAAAGAAAAAAGAAGGTGAAAACCCACTTCAATGGGCCTACCTAAATTCAAATTACCAGAATTAAAAAATATTTTAATAGTTTAAGAAGAAGAAGAACTATCAAGAATAATTATCCTTTGGTAGAAAGAAAGAAAAAATGTTTTAAAATATTAAAAAGTCCTACTTTTTAAGGAAAACCATTTCCAACTTGTAAGATCATAGAGCGAAGTAAAAGAGGCAAACAATATAAATGTCTCTTCAACAAAAACATGGTGAAAAAGACTTCATAGCCAAAAGGTAATTATATCAAAATGCAAATTGTTTTGTTAGACAAGTCAGGAACATTTTGTTGACAATATTCCAACACCACTGACAATCTATAGGTCTGAACTTAGATTAATTTAAGTCAATTTAAATTAGTTTGATCACAGCCAATGGAAAAAATATTTGAGTTCAGGTTAAGCTGGCTTTGGAAAAACAAAACAAAAACAATATTAAATCAAATATTATGTTTATTAGTAATGTATATTTGCACTTTGGTCCAAACCATTTTGTTTATATTTGAGCAGTATTTTAGAGCTAAAAAATAAAATGCTAATTTTAGTTGATTTTATTTTCTTCAGGCAAAATTAAGAAATGTTTGTGTTGCTTCCAGGCCAACAAGTGTTTAAGATACTATTCATAATGTTGATCTATAAATCGGTTACTCTAAAATAGGCCCCCCAAAATGAGAAAAGCGTATAAAATGAATGCCAGAAAGAAGGAATCATTCATTTATAAATGCAATATTTTGTACATGCACAGTCTGATAGTATTTGTATGAAAATTATTAAGATATTATAAAATTACAGCTCTGACATGAATGTTTCCCACACAGCAATCAATACCACAGCACAGCAATGTCAGATTAAATTCAGCTTTTGTCGCAAAGCTGCCTTTAGACTGTGACTCCAGCAGATTCTGAGACAAAGTGACTCAGTTTGTTAATGAATGCAACCATGTGATTCACTGACATTTTCAGCCGCAGCGAAAATAAATTAATATGATCACTTGTTCTTCAGAGTCCGAGTCGTCGTTCAAATGACTGCGGGCCTTAAAAGGTGCTGAGGCTTTAACAAATATTTCATTCTGGCTTTCCTTGTGGAAACATCTGAAAGACATGTTACAGCTTCACTGTTGGCAACTTTGCCAATAATCAAAAGCAATGCCATGTATACAGATGTGACTATAGCATATTGTGCAGTCTGATATATTTTATTTTAAATTGTATTACAACAGTCCTAAATTAACGCAGTATTTGAAAAAGTATATTCAATCCACCATTATTATAATGAAGTGTCAAAAACAGCCATATAACTTATCAAACATTCAACCAATCAGGCAAATGAGGAGCAAGTTAGGACTTTCAAACCCCACAACAGGATGTACTCAACTACACTCTCACATATTTAAAAACCATCAAAAAATGCATTAAGCTAATAGCAGCTTAAAATGACGGGGGCTCCAGTAATCTTGTTGACACAACCAGCGAAATACCAACCGCCCTCACTAAGTTGCGTCTGCCCATACTCTTGCTTCTCTTCACTGCTCTCCGTTTCCTCTTGATCTTCTTTTTAGATGGCTGGTGGTGCTCTTTCGCCCAAATGGGGTTCTCCTTGGAGAGGCTGACAAGGCCGCGTAGCATTATAGTCACAAACCTCTTCATCATCGCACTGCAGCTTTTACAGTCATGAGGACTTATCAGTTATGCCGTCGCGAGTAGACTTTTAAACCCGACAGTGGTGCATGCTTTAGAAAAGTGCTGCAGAGGAGACTTGGGAGAAGAAAACACCAGCTGTATGTGCACTTCAGGCAGGGAGGGGGGAAGAGAGAGCTCGAGTAAAAACAGTAAGAGAAAGGAAACGAGAGGGAGGGTTTGGGACGAGGATGGTGATGACAAGTGCTTCTCTGAAATGTGGTGACTGCTGCCAATAAGAGTTGTCCGAGTACGACTGTGACTGTCCAGCGGGTCATGGTATGATCAGGGACAAGAAAAGGAATTAGGCTAATACTGCATGGTGGCTGTACACAAAAAGCTGCAATTGCCAACTATAACCTCTTTCTCAAGTTATGAAATTATATTTGTGGAGTACAAACATTTTTAGTGGAAAAACCAGCTCCTACTGCTTATCCGTAGTCGGGTCACAAAGAAAACAGGCCCAGAAGAGAAACTCGGACATCCCTTTCCCCAGTGACACTTTCCAGCACCTTCAGGGAGACCCAGAGGCGTTCCAAGGCCAGAGGAGATACAAAATCCCTCCAATGAGTTCTGGGTCTGCTCCAGGGCCTCTTCCCAGTGGGACATGCCTGATAAACCTCTAAAGGAAGGCGACCAGGAGGCATCCTAACCAGATGCCCAAACCACCTCAACTGATTCCTTTCGATGCGGAGGAGCAGCGACTCTGAGCTCCCTCTGGATAACGGAGCTTGGAGTAGAGCAAAAATAAACCTTGAGCTTTTGTTTCAACTTAATAACTCCACTCACCACTGTTAAGATGTTTAAAAAGCCAAAGTACCAATTATGATTTGTAATGATGTATGATGTGTAATTATGCTTTAGACAATTAGAGTGCTCCCTTTCAGCAAAACAGCTATAACTATGAGAGACTTTGCCTGAAAGACTTGTAGATGTGTACATAATAAATACTACAAAAAATAAGTAATGGTCCAACAGCTTATGAACTTGATTCATGTTAACATAGTTCCAAAAGTTAAAAACCAATCAGACAAATATAAGGATCAAACATTCAAATCATCATTAGTATCTACCGACCATGATTTGATGTAATCAACTCATAAGACTCGAACATAAACCTTCAACTCAGCTAAAGCAAGCAAAATATTTCAAGCTAATATCAAATAAATGTAAGATGATGCCTTAGTAATTACACACATTTCATTCACCCCAACTGTTACAAACGTTGCCTGTTTGGTAACTTATGAACCAAAGTTATGACAAATAATGTGAAATAAACCAACGGATCTCACCAATCATGGGTGTTTGATACTGAAAGGTAGAGTGTGAATTATTTAAATATTTTATTTAGTTTGATAAAAAAAAAAAAAAAAAAGACGGACATTTTTACTTTGAAAAAGCCAAATTATGCCTTTTGCGTTTGTTGATTAGAAAACGGTTTTGAAGTTTTAGCAAATACGTTGGCTCTTTTTATGTTAAAATCACCAAAATAAAATCCACCTCTGGAAACAAGAAGCATCAAAACCCATCGTGGTTTAATTTGCACTTCATAAAGTGAGCATTTTCTATAAAAGCTGGCTGATGTCCTTTAGATGACAGCATTAGGAAAGCATGATAAATAATGCACGTTTCTTCAACCAAGAAAAGATATAGCAATTTTAAGAAAGTGAGAGTTGTTAAATAATCAATACCTGACTCCTTTCATCTTCGCTCATATTAAATCTGAGTAGTTAAAGTTAACATTATTAGCCCTCTACATTAGATTTTTACCATTTTACTTTTAATGGCAAAATCTTAATGATGGTGAATAGTTTTTATTAAGCATGTGAATCTACAGAAAGTAGAGAATGAAAAAAGATAAAGGTATACTTTTCATCTAAGTCACGCTCTGCCCAGTCCACTGTGTGAGGTTAATGCCTCTTGACAATCCACTCAGCTCAAAAGATTCCCCTGAACAACAGTGTTAGTTGACGCAGCCACACAGACCTAGATCTGCTAAGGTTTCATTGGCTGGCAGAGTCACGCGAGAACCGAGTGACTCTTTGACTCCGATACACTGTTGTTGCCACAGGATACAACTGTACACGAGGCTACGGTTGCAGTCAGGTCTAAAGGCCTAAAACTGCAGCAAGCATAAAGTTACTTCTAAATCCTGGAAAGCTATAAGCCTTGCTTGAATTGCATTCTGCATTTTCTTTCATGAGAACTACCAAAGCATTTTCAGGAATGTTGTTCTTTCAACCACAACCCCATTCATCAGCAACGCTAACTACTGGTATTCAAGAGTGAGTCACTTCCATTTATGATGAGACCTTACTGAGACTGTGGCAAACTTATCCTGCATCCATGCATGATCCTCTCCCAAAGAAATGTAAGCTCTTTTCCCATAATTCATCACTGCCTTCTCAGCACTAACGACAACAAAAGAGGTCCCAACAAAGAACCACTCCTATTTGGTTGCAGCTCAGATATTCTATTCCACGCACAAAGACTATCCCGGAACAATAACACCAGTGAAACACAAAAGGCTGAGAAAAACAACAACTTTCAAGTTAATTAGGTGTAGAGACTTTTTTTCTGTACTTTGGTTTAACTTATAAATTAGTTTAATGAAGCAAAAAGTATGTAGCCAGCTCACTCAAAGCTGATGTACAGCACTGAACATCCATCCATCAACCAGTCACACCTCTCCAGGTCACACTTGTTACATGGGCATTGAAGTCCCCCAGCAGAGTAAAGGAGTCCTCAGCTGGAGCACCTTCTAGCAACCCTGCTAACAATCCAAGAAAGCTGGGCACTCCAAAATATTGTTTGGCGAACAGGCACAAACAACAGTCAGACCCTGTCCCCCCACCCAAAAGGTGTAGGAAAGCTACCCTCTCAACTACCAGGTAAAAACTCTCAAGCCAGGGGACATCAAGTAAACCCACATCAGTCTAGCACTTCTTACCATGGGCAACTCCAGAGTGGAATGATTTAAGACATCAAAATGATTGATTCTGAAATTATTATCAACATTTTTTTGAAAATTCCACAATATTCTAATTTTTTTAGATGCACCTGTATAATGTAATTTGCAAGGTTTGACCAAAATGGCTACAACGCTGTCCCTTTTTAATCAAAAAATAATCCTAATTTAAAGCTCTGGCATGAAAGGCAGAATGCAATATTCATTCTTCTACACCTTTTTAATCTTTTTTGATCACAATATGTTTTACTTACCAAATTCATTTGCATGAAACAAACAAAGATACATGTTCAGTGCTAACATGGGTGGTAGCTGAAGGTGGAGACCTTGGCGCTCTGACACTGGCTTACCAAAGCTGGCTCTTGAGACATGGAATATCACGTCCCTGGTTGGGAAAGAGCCTGAGCTTGTGCGCAAGGTTGAGAGGGACCGACCATTTTCACAATATTCAAATTTTTTTAGATGTACCAGTAAACATAATTTCATGTAAATTTGGAAGAATTCACAATATCTGTTAGCTCTCAAAGTACAGTGAGGAAAATAAGTATTTGAACACCCTGCAACTTTGCAAGATCTCCCACTTAGAAATCGTAGAGGTGTCTAAAATTTTCATCTTAGGTGCAGCAGTAACCGTCACAAACCAATGAGAGAAGCATTCGATACACACTCGACTGCATGTGCGCACACTACTACAATTTTAGAAACAAAAACTGTGTGTGGAATCATCTGAATGTTGACGGACATGATTCTTCATGACAACGGGGACTGGCACTGCTTATAAAGACCTGGAGGAAATACAGTGAGCAAACATTGAAAATTTTACCTGGAATTTTTTTTTCTTTGCATTGCTTCCATTTAAATGTACAGTGAGGAAAATAAGTATTTGAACACCCCGAGACTTTGCAAGTTCTCCCACTTAGAAAACATGGAGGGGTCTGAAATTTACATCTTATGTGCATGTCCACTGTGAGAGACATAATCTATAAAAAAAAAAAAAAATCTGGAAATCACAATGTATGATTTTTTTAAATAATTTATTTGTGTGTTACTGCTGCAAATAAGTATTTGAACACCTGCCAATCAGCAACAATTCTGGCCCTCAAAGACCCGTTAGTCCGCCTCTAAAAAGTCCACCTCCACTCCACTCATTATTCTAAATTAGAAGCACCTGTTGTTAGCTGCATAAAGACACATGTCCACCCCACACAATCAGTAAGACTCCAACTACTAACATGGCTAAGACCAAAGAGCTGTCCAAAGGCACCAGAAACAAAATTGTAGACCTCCACAAGGCTGGAAAGGGCTACGGGGCAATTGCCAAGCAGCTTGGTGAAAAAAGATCAACTGTTGGAGAAAATGGAAGAATCTAAACATGACTGTCAATCTCCCTCGGATTGGAGCTCCATGCAAGATCTCACCTCGTGGCGTATCAATGATTCTAAGAAAGGTGAGGAATCAGCCCAGAACTACACGGGAGGAGCTGGTCAATGACCTGAAGAGAGCTGGCGCCACTGGTTCCAAGGTTATTGTGGGTAATACACTAAGACTCATAGTTTAAAATCATGCATGGCACTGAAGGTTCCCCTGCTTAAATCAACACACGTCCAGGCCCGTCTTAAGTTTGACCATGACCATTTGGATGATCCAGAAGAGTCATGCGAGAAAGTTATGTGGTCAAATGAGACCAAAATAGAACTTTTTGGTCTTAATTCCACTCACTGTGTTTGGAGGACGAAGAATGAGGAGTACCATCCCAAAAACACCATCCCTACTGTGAAGCATGGGGGTGGAAGCATCATGCTTTGGATGTGTTTTTCTGCACATGGGACAGGACGACTGCACTGTATTAAGGAGAAGATGACTGGGGCCATGTATTGAGAGATTTTGGGGAACAACCTCCTTCCCTCAGTTAGAGCATTGAAGATGGGTCATGGCTGGGTCTTCCAACATGACAATGACCCAAAGCACACAGCCAGGAGAACCCAGGAGTGGCTCTGTATGAAGCATATCAAGGTTCTGGAGTGGTCTAGCCAGTCTCCAGACCTAAATCCTATAGAAAATCTTTGGAGGGAGCTCAAACTCCGTGTTTCTCAGTGACAGTCCAGAAACCTGGCTGATCTAGAGAAGATCTGTGTGGAGGAATGAGTCAAAATCTCTGCTGCAGTGTGCGCACACCTGGTGAAAAACCACAGGAAACATTTGACCTCTAATTGCAAACAAAGACTACTGTACCAAATATTAACATTGATTTTCACAGGTGTTCAAATACTTATTTGCAGCAGTAACACACAAATAAATAAATAAAAAATCATACATTGTGATTTCCAGATTATTTTTTTAGATTATGTCTCTCAGAGTGGACATGCACCTAAGATGAAAATTTCAGACCCATCCATGATTTCTAAGTGGGAGAACTTGCAAAGTCGCAGGGTGTTCAAATACTCATTTTCCTCACTGTATGTGTTGGTGACTCTCAGCTACCACCACGCCAAACTGAAGCCCAATAGTGGTAAATTTGACCTAGTTATTTTTGTGTTGGGCAGGGCCAGTTAACTGTGTCTTGAATTAGGTCGACTCCAAAAGATAATAAGTTGTACATGGACATACAATAATTACTTTAGAGAGTTTCATTAAACTCCATCCACTGGTTTATGAAATATTTTTGCTAACGAACAGTGTTGATTCTTTCAGCTAAAAGTTTAAAGCAAAGATGTCATGCAATGTGTAGCACTTGGGAGTTACTCTCAGCTACTACCACAAAAAAGTCAATAAAGTGAGTAAGAATTCATTTAACTCATTCTGAGCAACATTCATGACAACTGGTTGACCCAAAAGTGGTTTTTGGAGTGCTGGAATCAGGATGACTAGGAAACTGGTGTTTTTATCTACCATAACTTCCTTTTTCTCAACCAATTTTAACAAAGTCAGTATAACTTTCTTTGTCCTTTTTTATAGCTAATTTGAGAATTTTGATTTTATATTATTATTTTTATATCATACAGTATATCGTATTTGTTGTGTTTGCAAAGGTTGCTTAGCTGTGGCAGCAATCTTGAAACAAATTGACTCAAAAAAAAGTCATGAGTTGAAGATGTATATGTATTCACTGATTAGACAGTTTAATTCAAATATGTCCAGTGGTTCATGAGATATTTTGCTAATCAATGCTGGTGACGAACGAACATACAGAGGCACAGGATGGGCGATAAATATATAAAGACAACAGATCACCCAAAAACATGCACTTTTTAAATTTAAATTAGAAAAACTATAGCTAAATAAAAGCTTTGCATTCAAGTTTGACCAGTCTTTTATTTTTTTTCTAAAAGTGTGCACTCACCGGCATCATGTTTGCAGTTCTGGTGGATCAGAACCAGCGTGCATGGACGACACAAACTGACTTTCGACCTTCTTCAAATCAGTGGCAAACAAGGGGGTAACTCCGATGTGACAAACAACAGGGGCTCAGTAGTAATCTCTGTTGAACAAAATAAAATGCTTAATTTCAATACTTAAGCTACAGCAGTACTCGCTCGTGTGATTAGTGAATGTCGCGAGGCATGAGCAGGGATTTAAATGGTCCAGGCGTGGCTCGGTGCGTGTAGCTGCGGCTACAAACAAGCCGACGTTAGCACGAAAAATAAAAAAATAAAAAAATAGGGGGTGCCAAAAGCCATATAAATATTTAACCTACTAATGCTATTAATTAGACTCACCAGTGTCAGAGATGTTTCATTGCTGTGTCAAAGAAATCTCAGCTACGTTACAGTTAAATAGACGAAGCCGCTGTCAGCGAGTCAGCTAGCGTTAAATCCAGTTGTTAGCTCGTTTTTCGGACGTGGCTAATGCACGGTTTACCAGATGATCTTTCCGTAACCGCTGATCCTTTAGCTTACATATGCTAGTCCAGCCATAAAAGAAGCGCGTCCTAAACGAACGAAAGTCCTTCCGGATCAGCGCACTCGTTTACGAACGCAACTACTCTTGGTTAGCATATTGGCGCGAGCAGCTAACGAGAATGCAACTTGCTGGAATCCAGTTGTTGACTGCGGGAGGGGCGGGACTTCGTCGCAGCAGCGGTGGTGTCACGTGAACGTAGAACGTGAAGAATTTACGTCATCACCACCGATCGCCAGAACAAAACAACCGGAAACGATAGGAGAAAGTTTTCAAATAGTAAACAAACACACTGCTACAAGATCTAAAAACATACTACTGGTTGATTGAGTTTCCATCCATCCATTATCTTTACCCGTTTGTTCCATTTTGGGTCACGGGGGTCGCTGGTGCCCATGTCCAGCAATCACTGTGCGAGTGGCGGGGTACACCCTGGACGGGTCACAAGTCCATCACAGGGCCACATAAAGACAAATAACCATTCACTCTCTCACTCACACCTAGGTGACAATTTAGAGTTACCAATCAGCCTAACATGCATGTTTTTGGTCTGTGGGAGGAAACCGGAGTACCCGGAGAAAACCCACGCATGCACGGAGAGAACATGCAAACTCCACCCAGAAAGGCCCCTGGACCAGGGTTTGAACCAGGGACCTGCTCGCTGAGAGGCAGCAGCTCTACCAGTTGCGCCACCGTGCTGCCCGTTGATTGAGTTTATTCAGTCAAAATAAAATGTAAATAAATACAATTCATTCATTCAACCTTTATTTAGACAGATAGATCCCATTGAGCCTCGAGGACTCATTTACAAGAGAGACCTGATTTCAACAAAGAATGATGACAACAATGGACAACAGCTACAACAATAGACAGTTATAAAAAGGCATATAGATTTTTTATTTTTTTTTTACAAATAAGATGGCTAAAAAAAGTAAAAAAAAAACAAAAAAACAACTAGATTATAAGGTAAATGTAGAAAACTATAAACAGGAACATGTCCAGGAAACAGGAGCGGAGTAGGAGAAGGCCCTTTTGCCAAGTTCAGTCATCACCGAGGGAACACTGCAGGTACTAATGTCCTGAGAGCGCACGCTGTAGCTGCACTCACGCAGAGACATGTAGGAGGAGATATATGAAGGCAGCAGACTAAGAAGTAAATTGGTCTGCTGATAGTTTATACAGCTATATATATTTTATTATATATTTTATTAATTTATGAAAATATACTGTGCAAAGAAATACAACATGGAATAATAAAAACAAGGAAAGACTAGACTCTTGTGATTTAAGACATGGTAAAAGGATCGTCACGAAGGTAGACGAGTCCCTGGAATATCTTGCAAAAACATTTGAAGCTCTCGACCTTGACCTCTCTAAGAATCTGTTGGACTCCTGGCAGGGACCAATGCCGACATGTTCCTGTTTTTAGTTTTCTACATTCGCCTTTTAATCTAGCAGTTTTTGTTACTTTTTTACCCATCTTTTTGTAAAAAAAAAAATCAAAAAAAAATCTGTATGCCTTTTTATAACTGTCTATTGTTGTCATCATTCATTGTTAAAATCAGGTCTCTCTTGTATATGAGTCCTCGAGGCTCAATGGGATTTACCTGTCTAAATAAAGGTTGAATGAATTTAAAAATGTTTTTACTAAATTGACAGTATATGGAGAGCATTGCACTGGTGCAACAGAAAGGACTGTCCACAGCTTTTGTAGAAGGAATAACTAAAGAGAATGGGACAAATAGCATATTATGAAGGGCTCGTATGTGATTGATTTCCCTGTTTCTGACTGTTTACTGTTTCTGTCTTTAAACTCAGACTCAGAGTGAACTATATGGGTATGAGGAGGGCCATTGAGAAGATACCAAACCATATTTTTCTAGGAGGTCTGCAGACAATATGTTTATTGGATAGACCAGAATACCAGGCTGTGGCATGATGACTGTGTATGAGGGCTGAGGTGAGCAGCTTTTTAGATTCTGTATCAAAATTCCTGGTCTTTCTGTGCAAAAATTTGAGTTTGGCATTGGGTTATCTACTATTTGGCTGCCCAAAAGTGTTTGGTCTAATACAACACTTAAATTCAAAAATGTTCAAGAAAAAACAACTGGACTTCATTTGTAAAAGAGGACATTTCGCTTCTCATCTGAGGAGCTTTCTCAATTCAAAGAACAGAGAATGTGAGAATCGCTCCTCACAATAGGGATGAGGAGTGATAGGGCAATCTGCATATGTATCTAACTTACCTCAGCTTTATAACTCGAACCCCACACTCTCTGTTCTTTGAATTGCGAAAGCTCTTTGGATGAGAAGTGAAATGTCGTCTGTTACAAATAAAGTCCAGTTGTTTTTGTCTTGAACTTTTTGAATTTACCATGTCCTGGATGACTGAGAATCTTCACCAGCGTAATACAACACCTAAGTATTTAATGAAGATTTAATGGAGAGTATAGCCATCATGTGTGATGTCTAAAGATTACTTGCCATTGAGCTTTCTCTTAGAGCAAAATCTAACCAATTCAGCCTTCCCAAGATGAAAAGATTGCTTATTGTCCACTTACGGATGACCTGAAGTCTGGAAGACAGGCACTGTTGATTTTCAACAGTCTTTTACAGCTGCAATTAACATTGGAGTGCATGTCATTGACATATATGAGAAATAATAAATGGCCAAGTATGGAGCCCTGTGGTACGTCATCACCATCACTTTCACAGGAGTGGTGTTGTCGCCATCTTTCCCCACATATTGCTACCCATTCTCTAAGTAGGCTTTAAACCAGTATGCAAATGCTTACATACTACAGTTTATAGACTGCATATATAGTAAATATATAAATAAATAAACATATAATTACAAAAGTAGGTATTTCGTGCATTGACACCTAAAGATATTATTAATTATTACAATTATGGAGACAGCTGTGGGGTAAACATTTAAATCACAAAACTAACTATACATAAATTAAAATGTCCAACTCCCTTCAAATTACTGACATTTTTATTTTACTTTTATTAAAAACTAAATCTTACTACAACCAATTCATGACTTATTTTTGTGGCTGAATAATGAAAAGTACAATTATGGCCAAACAAGAACAAAAACATCTCAGAGACTGTGCTGGTTATTTTGTAAATAATTATTTTTATAAGAAGTGAACAACAGTGCATTTAGGTGTTTGTAGATAGAGTTGTCTTTTATTGTCACAAATCTATTTGGATTGAGTTTCAATATATTATTGGGAATTTTATTCTGTATCTTCATTCTATAATTTGTCAAATTATTTTAGAGTTTTTAACAGGTACATTTCAATAAGCACACCAGACAGCTGAAACTGGGCAATATTTTATTTCCCTATACGTTTTTCTTTTCCTCCCATCCTTGTATGACTTTATATAAAATGACTTGCTTCATAGCCTATTTTAGATGATAGTGTTTTTTTTTTTTTTTTTGATAAACTCTTCTGTTTTAAACAAGCGGTACATTGAGGTCCCTCAGTCGCTGAGAGCTTTGAATAATTAATGCTTCAAGATGAGTTGTTCTGGACTGGAATTAAACAGAGAATACAAGTAAACCTTAATGTTTTGGTGCAAGAGCTTCAAGTGAGTCGGAGTTACAATGTGTATTAGAACAGCGGTAGTTTATTTTTTATTTTATTTTTGTTTTTCCGAGGCACCAGAGTGACAGATCCTGGTGAGTGAAGGGAGCAATGGAGCCAGGGGATAGCCAATGGTGGCCTTGGCCACTGTAGATTACATCTCCACCTGTCCTACCAGCCAGCCCAATCATTTTAAGAAACTATACGTTGAAGCAATATAAAAACTAGAATTTCCTCAAATGATGGCGGGTGGCCATCTTGAATTTTGATTTGAAACCGTGACCTATCAAAAACTTCTGATAGCGAGCTTTCTTATGCCTGGATGCAGCCATACACCAAAGTGGAAGTCAACATATTGCTTAATTTTAAGATTATCCAGTTCAGGGGCAATACATTTTTTTTAGCAGACTCTGTTATTAATATTAAAGGAATAGCAACTTTGATATTAATAATAACTGGTAGGTTTATTGATTCATAGGCTAACTGGTAGCTCTAAATTGTCCCTAAGTGTGTATGAGAGAGTGAACGGTTGTCTCATTTGTCTCTATATGTCCCTGTGATTGACTTGCGACCTGTCCAGGGTGTCCCCTGCCTCTCACGCAGTGGCTGCAGGATATGGGCACCAGTAACCCCTGCGACCCAAAAAGGAAGTAGCGGGTAAAGACAATGGATGGATATTTATAAATTAAAAGGATATTAGTGATAAGGGCCTTAAAATGCTGATATAGCTATGTAGATGATGTCTATATGTTGTTCTTTTGGCTGCAACCTTCTGCAGGGGATGCCAAAGCGAGCAAACTTGCATGAAAAATGTTATGCCAGATGTCCTTCCTGACACAACCTGAGCTCGAACTGGCAGCCTCAGGATTACAAGGCTGTAGCACATAACCACTGAGTTACCATTTATGATCTAGATATGCATTGATGAACAATAACCTGATCTGAGCTCACATGAAATCTAGTGAATTTACCAAAGCTAACCAACAGATGACAGCATCAGGCTTTACAGACCAAAATAATAAACCCTATATATATATATATACATATATATATGTATATATATATACATATATATAATATATATATATATACATATATATACATACATATAATATATATATACATATATATACATACATATAATATATATATACATATATATACATACATATAATATATATATA